CATTCCATAACTAGAAGCCTTTATCTGCCACTCCCCTTCACCCATGTTGCCCCTCCCCCCAACTCCTGGAACTCTGGTAACCATCACTTTGTTCTCTGTATTTATAAGTCTGATTCTGTTTTTTGTTTATTCATTTGTTCTGGTTTTTAGACTCCACAAATGACTACTTCACTTGTATAATACCCTCGAGGTCCATCCACATGTCAAAAATGGGAAGATCTCACCTTTTTTATGGCTGAGTGTGTGTGTGGTGGGGGGTGTTTCTGGATCTTGGCTATTGTCGATAATGCTGCTATAAACATAGGGGGTGGCATGGTATCTTTCTGAATTAGTGTTTTCATTTTCTTTGGATAAATACACAGTAGTAGAATTACTGGATCATATGGCAATTCTATTTTTAATTTTTTGAGGAACTTCCATACTGTTTTCCACAGTGGTTATACCAATTCCCACCAACAGTGCACGAGGGCTCCTTTTTCTCCACATCATCACCAATACATTATTACCTTCCTGTGGTTTTGATTTTAGCCATTCTGTCAGGTGTGAGATGATCTCACTGTAGTTTTGATTTGCATTTCCCTGATGATGAGTGATGATCTTGAGCATGTTTTCATGTGTCTGTTGGCCATCTGTTCATCTTCTTTGGAAAAATGTCTATTCAGGTCTTCTGCCCGTTTCTAACCACAGTATTTGTATTGGTTTTGTTTTGTTGTTGTTGTTGTTTTGTTTGGTGTTAAGTTCTTAAGTATTTTGGATATTAACTCTTTAATGGATAATTTGCCAATATCTTTTCCAAGAAAAGAACTAAGAACCAAATTCAAATTTCTTTTGTTGATGGTTTCCTTCACTGTATAAAAGCATTTTATTTTGATGTAGTCCCAATGGTTTATTTGTGCTTTTGTTTCCCTCGCCTCAGGAGCCATATCTAGAAAATTGTTACTAGAGCTGATGTCAAAGACATTACCACCTGTGTTCTCTTCTGGAACTTTTATGGTTTGGGGTCTCACATCTAGGTCTTTAACCCACATTTAGGTCTTTAGCCCATTTTGAGTTTATTTTTTTTTAAAGATTTTATTTATTTATTCATGAGAGACAGAGAGAGAGAGAGAGAGAGAGAGAGAGAGAAGCGGAGGGAGAAGCAGGCTCCCAAGGGGCAGGGAGCCTGATGCGGGACTCGATCCCAGGACCCTGGGATCATGACCTGAGCCGAAGGCAGACGCTTAACCATCTGAGCCACCCAGGCGCCCTTGAGTTTATTTTTGTATATGGTGTAAGAAAGTTTTGATCCAGTTTCATTCTTTGGCATGTAGCTGTCTGGTTTCCCAGCACCATTTGTTGAAGAGACTGTCTTTTCCCTGTTGTATATTCTTGCCTCTTTTGTCTTACATTAACTGACCAAAGAAGCATGGGTTTACTTCTGGGCTCTCTATTCTGTTCCATCCATCTATGCCTTCCACCTGTGTGCCAGTACCATACTGTTTTGATCACTACAGTTTTGTAGTGTATCTTGAAATCTGGAATTGTGACACCTCCAGCTTTGTTCTTCTTTCTCAAGATTGCTTTGGTTATTTGGGGTGTTTTATGATTCCATACGGATGTTAGTATAATTTGTTCTAGTTCTGTAAAAAAAAAAAAGCTGTTGGTATCCTGATAGGGATTGTACTGAATCTGTAGATTGCTTTGGGGAGTACAAACATTTTAACAATATTAATTCTTCCACCATTAAATATCTTTCCATTTGTTTATGTTGTCTTCAATTTCTTTCATCAATGTTTTATAGTTTTTACCTCTTTGGTTACGTTTATTCCTAAGTATTTTGTTCTTCTTGGTGCAATTGTGAATGATATTGTTTTCTTAATTCCCCTTTCTGCTACTTTGTTAATAGGATATAAAAATGCTACCAACATCTGGGTATTAATTTTATATCCTGTAACTTTACTGAATTCATTTATTTCTTCTAACAGTTTCTTGGTGGAGTCTTTATAGAGTTTTCTATGCATAATATCATGTCATCTGCAGACAGTGACAGTTTAACTTCTTCCTTAGCAATATGGATGACTCTTTTTTTTTCCTGTCTGATTGTTATAGCTAGGACTTCCAGTATCATGTTGAATAAAAGTGGTGAGAGTGGACACCTTTATCTTGTTCTTGCCCTTAGGCTTTAGGAAAGCTTTTAGCTTTTAGGAAAAGCTCCCAAGTTTTTCACCATTAAGTATGATGTTAACTGTGGGTTTTTCATATATGGCCTTTATTATGTTGAAGTGTGTTCCCTCTAAACCCACTTTGCTGGAAGTTTTTTTTTTTTAATCATCAACAGATGCTGAATTGTGTCAAATGCTTTTTCTGCATCTGTTGAGATAATCATATCATTTTTATCCTTTGATTTGTTGATGTGTTGTATCATGGTGATTGATTTGGGAATATTCAACCACCCTTGCATCCCAGTAATTAATCCTTTTAATGTATTGCTGAATGTGGTTCGCTTTTTTTTTTTAAGATTTATTGATTGATTGATTGATTTGACAGAGAGAGAGACACAGAGAGAGAGGGAACACAAGCAGGGGGAGCAGGAGAGGGAGAAGCAGGCTTCCCGCAGAGCAGGGAGCCCGATGCGGGAATCAATCCCAGGACCGTGGGATCACAACCTGAGCCGAAGGCAGACTCCCAACGACTGAGCTACCCAGGTGCCCCTCCTCTTTTTTTTTTTTGAGGGTTTTTAGATCTATGTTCATCAGGGATACCGGCCTATAGTTTTCTTTTTCTGTGGTGTCTTTGCCTGGTTCTGGTATCAGGGAAATGTTGGCCTCATAGGATGTTTGGAAGCTTTTCTTCTTCTATTTTTTTTATATAGGTTTTATTACTAATTGTACTATTGGAACTCCATTAATAGTCAATTAACTAATAAATAAATGTAAAGAAATATACACAGATTCAGAATCCAATGCTAGATTGATACTTCAGGTGCCAATGAAATAAACGTACTCTCACCAATACTACTCATTCCACTAACCATGAAAATACGGTAGGAAAAGTATCAAAACATGCAGGCTTTTCCAGAACCACAAAATCCAAAAGTTTCCTAAGAAGTCTATTAAATGATAATTTTTCATTTTTTTCCCCAGAAAGGAAATGTTCCATTCTCACACCCTCCCCCCGCCCCAAACCACTGTCTAATTACTATGGGCTTGCTGGCTTTTCCAGGGTGGCAGAATCCTTTTGACAATGAGACAGCAAATAACCAAGTGCTCACGTTTTACCAGAGGAGCAAAAGGACAAGCTGCATCATACCAGGAGTCCACGACAGTGGCACCCACCCACCAGTGCATCAAGGGACACAGCCATGATGGCAGCTCAAACTGCTTTACCGCCTTTATGTGGATCACCTCCTCAGACACAGAGGTCAATCAAATCGTTGAGAGCCTAGCAATTCAACTAGCCTAGGCTCCAGGAAGCAGAATGACTGGAGCCTCAGAAAACTCAAGGTTCTTTTAATGAAGACCTCCTAAACATTTATTACCGAACAACCATTATCTAAGTACTAAGTACATATCAGGGAGTATCCTTGGTCTTAAAAATCCAGTGGGGAATCAGACAGCTGAGGTGGCAGGACTTGGCATTCCCTGGATCATCTCATAATGCTTGGTGAACAGGTTGACCAGCTCCTAAACAGGTATCCCAGTTGGGTAAGAGGGTAATAAATGAAACCGAAGTTTTTAACATACACATGCACTAATACACACACACACACACACACACACACACACGGAGTCACTGCTGTAAATTCATTTAAATCCCCTCTATGATGATAAATAATTAAAACAGGGCACGCATTTCTACTCTTTAAATCCCCCAAGATATTTATGGTCTCCATTCATTCCACTTACACTCAAATGCCTTTGATAACAGCCAGTCCATATTTGACCAGTCTGTCTGGGCATCCCCACACAGAGAGCCACCTTGGCAGGTACCCCATCCTTCCCAGGAAGGACAACACATAAGGTAAGGACTATTTTTTCATCTTTGCAAATGTCAGGAAGAGAAAGGGGAAGTTTTCAGTGACTACTTCTGGCTACAATTTCATCTTAGAAAAAAATCCCCCCCCTTCACCTGCCAAATACATAGTAGTTTTTCATTCATTAATAGACTGAATCACAATGAACTCCATATATGTTTTTCTGCTAATTATTCTCACGGCACCCAAGCATGTTAGAGTAAGGAGGCACATTTAGAATATCTCTTCACAGAGGCAGTAGTTGGGATTATGACAAGGATTTTATAGTTTGATTTTAATCTGATCTTTGATTTACAGACTCATGTTAAACCAGCTACTCTGTGGATGGGCCCAGGTGAGCCTATAATGAGATTTATCTTCATGGATTAGGCCTGACCTATAATAATCTGCTCAGGGCTCCCTATGGCTATTTCAGCACTGAGTTATGAAAATTCCCCCCTTCACTATAAACAGAACCTAGCTCAGAGGGTAATAACTAGGAGATGTATTACTCCTGGAGTACAAGCACTCTGGAGACTCTGATTATAATGTCCACAGCTGAAGGCACTATTTCACAATTGAGATTACTACTTTCCAGATGAAAAAAAATTCTGAACTACGGAATAATGCCTTCAGCTACATACACTGTAATCACACTCAGGAGTTCTTATACCCCAAGAGCAACACAGGTTACCAAAAGTTGGTATGGGAAGCTGATTCAGGGAATGGAAGGAAGAAGTTGCAGGAAGAAACTTAGATAACCCTAACTTCCTATTTGCTTTGTCCAGAGGCTTAGGTGTAATCAACACGTCCAATAACCTTATCAACTTCACTAAAAATCTAACAAATTTAAAAGAGTAATTATTTCACATAATAAACTAGCCAAGTTGTTTTTTGTTTGTTTGTTTGTTTTTAAGAAGACAATATTGACTGCTGGCCATGGGGTAGTGAGATGCACTTTTTCAATATATGAATGTATAAATCTGAACAACGTCTACAGAAACAGTATTTAGCAGAAGTACAGAGAACTTCCATAATGTTCATATCCTTTGCCACAGTGATTCCACTCTAAGAAGTTACCCTAAAAACATAATTAGAGGTGAACAAGGAGTTATTAAAAGCTTGCTCATCACCATTACCTGCAATAGGAAAAAGTTGGAAATGACCTAAAGGAAGAACTTTTGAGAAATCCACACACTGGAAAATGCTGCATTCTTTAAATTGAGTCACAAAGCCTAAGTAGAATGCGAACTCATAGTTGCATTGCACAACTTTTGTTAAGCCATTTATCCAAGGGCATTCAAATTGTTCCTACATCAATATTTAACAGATACTCTCTCAGAGTTAACTAAATGGACTTCGGCTCAGGTTTTTGTTTTTGAGCTATAAGGCTAATGAAGTATTGATATAATATTAAGTGACTGCAAATAAAGTCTGTACCCTAAATAAATGCTGACATGATGCCAGTGCATTCTGAATGAATTAAAAAGGAAAAATGCACTTTTGCATACGTTTGGTGAATTCTCCCTGACTCTTCATAATGCATTTGTGCAAATGGAAAAGATGAAAATTCATCAAGGCTCTTTGAATATATTACAGTTGAAATAATTTGGGTCTTAATATTTATAGTACATCATGAAACATAATTTTTTAATTAAAAGAAATGGATACTATGTCAAAAGAGGGCCACTGAAGAAACATGAAATTACACCACTGAACCTAATGTTAAAAGTTGAAAAACATTATTTGAAAGCACTTCCCTCCCCTTCAAAAATGTTAGCTATTCTAGAAAGTATCTTCCAGTGTGTCAAGTTGGTGAGTATTGAGTCAAAATGAGGAAGCAAGCAATAAGCTGGTTGACCATCACACAGGAAGGACAGAAAAGGTTACACTACTGCTCCTAGCTGGTGATCTGAAAAAAAGGGCTCATTTCCCTCCCTCCTAATAATACCACCTCCGCTAAGCCTGACAACCCCGAGGAAACACTGTTCCAATAAACACCAGGTACATCAACACCAGCATTTCCTAGGTAACAAGCACTGGGCAAAGGACTGCCCATGAGTTGGTTCATGGTGAACCTCACAACAACCTTATGAGGTTACTACAACCATGACCCTTCTTCACAGATGAATAAACCAAGGCTTACACAGCGAGTAAGTGCTTGAGAGTGGAGCTGATCTCTTAACCAGTTTGCTCCCTACCCCACAAATTCCCTTTTTCCAACTTAACCACTATAGTTTAACTCTTGAATATAGTTTCCATACTGAATTGGTCTCTGGCTTGAAGATCAGCTTCTTGATTAGGCTAAACCTAAAACGTTAACCACAGATTAAAAATAAGCAAACAAAAAGAAACAAGACTCCATTCTAGGGCCCTAGAAATGTATAGAAAGGAAATAACATTTGTTTATGCACTCATCAAGTCTTCACTGGGCACCTCCTCTCTGTCAGCACTATTCTAGGCCCTGGGAAGACAGCAGGGAAAACAGGAAGAATCTCTCCACTGTCATGAATTTTTCATTAGAGTGATTAATAGATACGTAATAAAGTAATAAACTAAATTGTGTAGTATACTGAAAGGGGATAAAGCTATGGAGAAAAGCGGGATGTATGGCCTACAGTGTGGGGAGCAGTTTCAAACAAATGGTCAAGGAAGACCTCAACAAGAAAAAATGTGATATGGGGAGGTTCCCACACACCAAGCAGATGAAGCTCACGTTTCTAATCAAAGAGAAAATTGGAAAAAAACACTGTCAACTAGTTTTCACTGTGTTCCTGCCATCTATCCATTCCTCCAAAGTACAAAAGAAGTGAGGATTTCATATGATGGCCACATATACTATTTTTAAACTTTAATCATCAAGGCTTACAACCTTATTTTCCTACAGAAAAATAAGTTACCACGGGTCCTGCTTTTGTCTCTTGGAATTTCCATCTTTTTTTGCCAGAAAGCGGCATCTGTATAAATCCCCCTGCTTCTGACAACTCTGACTTCTTTGATAAACTACCCATGTGTGCGGGGAGGGACGGAAAGATGGAAGAAGCAAATGAAGAAAGGAGTTTTCCCCTCTTCAGATTAATGTATATGAGGTAGACATCTGACACTTCATCAGCACTCCCGGCTGGTGTCCCAGCAGGCAGATACTGGCTGAGCATGGATTCTGCCAGCTACCAGGCTACTTAGGATGAATTGGCAACATGCCATTTATCTGAAATGCCCAATGTGTCTGGGAGAGGGAGCACAATGACATTTAGCATTGCCAAGGAAAACTAGATACTTCAGGCTAGGAATTAATCTCCTCCTTGAGAAGGTAGTTAGCATTACCCTCAAGCTTGCCTATGGCATTCAAATCACTATAGGTCACGCATTTACTAAAATTCATACCTACCAAACCATGAGGCCTTCATTTATATCTTATTAACATATGAATACCTCTCAGGTTGAGAGTCTGTACTTTTCTGAAATGTTTGTTGGTGTGTTGAACAGGAAATTCTGTTTTGTCAAGTGTAACGCTGTCATGTGGACATTTTGATTCCTGTTTTTCCAATTTTTTCACACGTGAAGACACATACTGCTTCAGATTAGTTCTTCAATGAGCCAACAGAACATTTAAATCAACGTGACCACATCATGACTGCTTACAAGCATATTAATTAAATTTCCGTGAATGTGGACAGTGATCCTCTCTTCACTATTTTGTCACATTTTTTGAGCGGCCAATATGGAACTACACGAGATTGGCTCATTACATGGACTTCACGGCTAATCACGAATTTAAGATACACACAGAACAAAAACAAAGAGTTTTTAGGTGGATAGTCTTAATAGGCCACCCATTACAGCACAGAGAATCACATCATCACTTTTGCCTTGCAAGTAGAGTCATCTGTCACTTTGTAGGAATAATTATTCGTTCCATCAACAATATTTATCGAAGACCTCCTATGTGCAAGGAGTTGTGCCAGGAGCAGTGAGGAGAACAAAGTCAGAGCAGACAGGAATTCTTCCCTCAAGGAGCGTGCTGTCTAGCAGAGGATATAAAGCACCAACACAAAGAACTACAACAAATGCGCACCAGGATAAACACTGTCGGGAGGAAGGGTGACTTACAGTTCTAAGACAGGGGCAATGGAGTTGAGAACAGTGGCCTGGAGAGAGGATCAGAGTGAAGCACTTTCTATGGTTCAGTGCACTACGTGACACATCACTTGTTTAGAAGGAAAAGAAAAAAAAAAAAAGCAAAAGTTCTAAGAGGGCATTTCCATCTCTCAACCATCATTCTCTATCACTATAGAGATAGTTAATTGTAATCAGTAAGATAATTTAGATGTAATCCAATCCAAGAACCATGAAACAGATAAATGGTCTGCAAAGGGTACCAAAAGCAGAAAAAGTCATTAGCCTGCGCTGGGCAACATATTGAAATGAGCGATACGGGCCAGAAAGCTGGGCAGATAGCAGAACCACGAGGAAATCAAGATGGTGCTCTGCCTGGCAGCTCTCTTCCAGCGGCTATGGCTCTTACGAGGAGAGAACGGGGCGGGGGGGCTAGGGGGGAAGACTTGGTCAAACAGTTCTCCTTCGACTACCATCAGGAAGTAATGAAGTCTCTGAAGGAAAGACATGATGAGCCTTCACTGTCGACTGAATGGTTAATTGCAGTCTGGCTTCCATACTCAAGCTTACCCATAATATGTTACTAACAGAAGTAGTAATACTGCTAACATTTGAGACTTGTTATGTGCCAGGTACTATTTTAAGTTGCTGCCTATGGGATTTCAGCACTTTCTCTAGTTTTGCTCACAAGCAAATAGTATAAAAACTCACAGAACTGATAAGCTAATAATTAAACGACTCTTTGGTAAGAATTTCATCGGGTATATTTTGAGGAGTACTCCTTCATGTTTTCTATTAATAGTTCTCTTTATCTTTTTATCTTATTCTCAAGTATCTTAGGTCACCTGACATGTGTTTTACCAATGAATGAATCCATTTCCAAGCATGGGACTACCGGTTATTAGATGAGATATGTTCCTTTTAATAGTGTTGTTTTAGTCAGAATCATTTACTTGGCAATCAACATACAGGATTACTATCTGAGTGTTAAGAGTAATTTTGCAGTGACCCCAAAAGCACTTGTTAAAAAAAAAAAATCACTAATTGTGAGGCACTTCCCTCTTTCCTTAAAAAGTAAATGCTTTCAGTAAAACAAGCTCTTAATAAAATTCCCCAAGAAGAAAAAGTAACATTGAACTTGGGGATAGGATGATGGCAAATGGTTTTCAATTATTTCTTTTTCTGGTAGTTTCTAGTTTTAGTTGGGTAGACTTTCTAAACTGACCCCTTAAGTTTCTTTCCTACTTTTGTTCTCTTTCACTTTTGATTTAACTTTCTAGTTGGTAGGTTTCCCTGATTTCAGTTCCCTAACTTTATTTTTAAAGATTTTATTTATTTATTTGACACAGAGAGAGAGAGAGAGAGTACAAGCAAGAGGGAGTGGCAGGCAGAAGCAGAGGGAGAAGCAAGCTCCCCGCAGAGCAGGGAGACCAACTCAGGCCCGATCCCAGGACCCTGGGATCAAGACCCGAGCCGAAGGCAGACACTCAACCTACTGAGCCACCCAGGCACCCCAAGTTTCCTAACTTTTTATGATTTTTTTCATTTTGACTGTAACTATCATCAGTTTAACTGTACCTTTAAATATAAGTCCTAAAATTTTCATGAGAGGAAAAAGATGAACTTTGGTTCAGAGACCATAGTCAATTTTGAAGTCATAAAATATTCTGAAACTTTTTTTGGGATAATTATTCACTGTTTTCACAATCTTTATTATCCTAGAAGTAGAATCAGGGGATTCCAAAGTTGATTTCCAGAGATTGCTTAAATACCTTTTTTCATCTTGCAGGTGCAGCTGAGTTGATAAAATAGGAGAAACTAAGTGATTTGCCCAAGTTTATACAGCTATCTAGTGGCAAAAGTAAGACTAGAGTCCTGACCTAAATCAAATCTCTCTGCATTATTGAATGATTCTCAAATATCCAACTTAATTTATTACTAATGCATAAAATTATAAGGCACCATAATGTATTATTTGCATCTCCACCAGTAAAAGATATTTCAAATCTACTCCCAAAACATACAACCCTACCACCAAAAATAACTTATAGAGACTTCTAGGCTGTGCCAAAGGATGAAGGAGAGAAGGAACAGGCCCAGGAGAAAACAACATTCTGGGAAGCATCGGGGTTGAAAATCAAGATCAACACTGGAAGAAGTGAACGAGGAATGCAGGAGGCCAAGCTGCAAACAAATACATAAACACAGATGCCATGGGTCAACCAGTAAATGTGGAGAGAGTCCTGAGGTGTGGATAACGTGAACAGTTTCAATTACCACAAAAAAGAAGGGTCCAGGCCAGAATCATCAATGGATAGGCAATCTAGGGGAAATTTCTGATGGGAAGAAATATGTTCGCACAGCCCAAAATTTATCTTCCCACAGAATGTTTATTGATGGTGAGATTAAAAGTCTAACTCCAGTGGAGACATCAACACCATGACTGTGCGGGGGGGGGGGGGGGGTGGAATTAACACCACAATGAGGGGCAGATGGACATGATGGGCCTGCAGAAGGCAAGCCCTGAAAGTATATGTCACCACCCATGCCCTATTCTGGTCTGGAATGCAAAATGTGAACCTCACAAAGAGGAAACATCAGACACATCAGGCATGTGTAATACGAGAAACATTCCATTCTTTAAAAATGGGAGGGGAAGGACAGTCTTCAAAAATGTCTATGCCATAAAAGACAAAGGAAGGCTGTGGAAAAACTCCAGATTAATAGAGACAAAATAGATAGGACAATTAAATGCAATATATGACCCTAGATTGAATCCTACACTGGAGGAGAAATGCCACACAGGACACAATTGAGCCAATTGATAAAAATGAAATACAGAATGGAGAGTAGATAAAAGGCTTGTAGTCACCATATATTCACCAACATTTCTGACTGTGATAACAAAAGACCATGCGACACAGCTTACTCTCAAATAGTTCAAGCAATTATCTGAGTGTGTGTACATAGATACATATATACACACACAGGTATATATCTACCTCAGCATATATCCAAGGAGAGAGAAAAAGCAAATTTGGCAAGAAATTAACAGCTGGATCAATATGTTCTACATATTTTTCATATTCTTCCAACTTTTTGGTAGTCTGAAATTATTTTCAAATAAAGAAAATATTTAAGAAAAAAAGCTCAGATATTTTCATTTCTTTGGAGGGAAGAGAGGAGACAGTCAAGGTAACAGAAACACTACAGATTAGGTTGGGGGCATGGAGAGGAGACTTGGAAAAAATTAGCACACGCAATGCAAAAAAGTTCACAGTGCTTCATGTTAAATATGGATAAGTTCAAACCCAGTTAAACTCAATACACTTAAAATAGTCCCTAGGGTGGTGGGGAGATGAAACCACATCGAGGCACCGCGGACACTGGCAGAGGACACTCACCAGGCTGGCGGTGAGCGAGGGTGCCGACTGGCCCAGGGCCTGGCTGCGCATGCGCACGAGGTTGGATGTCTCCGTGGAGGTTGGCCAGGCCTGCCCTGCCACAGGGTTTGGAAGGAGGTACCTCCCTGTTGGGGTGAAAGAGAAAACAGTGTAAGTGGCAGGCAAAACATCAGCACTTCTGTGAGAATGGCAAGTCTCTTCTTGACCATTCCTTCTCTACCGCTTCTATCATACTCCTTACATTTACTCATCGCAACCAGAGGAATATTGTTTTAATTAAGTCAGGGGATCCAGTCCCAAGTTCTGACCCTGATTTCCCACGTACACCCAAGGAAACTTCTTCAGCTCCGGCATGGGCAGCTTTCAGCAAGGGCAGGATCAAGTATCTTGTTACTTCTGCCTATTCCACAGGAACTTATTGAGGATACATACAAATACACAAAGCATCCTCAGCATCATTGAAGTAAACCTGCACTTACAAATGGACTTTTAAATATCTAGTATGAAAAACGATCTCAAGATCAACTAGAAAAAAGTAGAGATCATGACCAACGAAAGGAAGAACTAGAATTCTGTCACGGTGAAATGGGGCTGCTGCTTCATTCTCAAAGCTTCGCTCTCTGAAGAACTGGTGGTCACCCAACCATGTCCACAGGACACACGTGGTATCCATTCGCATACATCAGAATATCAATGTCAGACTAGGTTCACAGAGCTGTTTACATCAACCTTGAACTCTAATATATGTGTATGCCTCTAACAGTCAAACAGGCGAACCAATTTGCATTACATTACTTCCTCACCACAAGGACTAAACTAGTTACCAACACACAGGAAATAAGGTTCCTTGACTTCAGGGAGTTAGGATGGACATGAATATTCATGCAGTAATGGAGCTCAGCAAAAACAGAAAACATGTTTGATTTGTGTTTCACACTAATACTAGCATAATGACTGGCCATAGCAGGTGCTCATTAAGTATCCCATGAATGATTAAAGAACAAGCGGGCGCTTCTTCCCCCCCCCAAAAAAAACACATTGGCAAAGAGAAAAGATGGCAGGCAACCCACAGAACCTCATTCAAGGTTGAGGGGGTGGACAGGGATCCAGCCACATTCCTCCCAGAAACATGAGGGATTGCAGCACGTGTGGCTGGGTGCCCTGTAGCAGAAGCAACATCTGGATTTTCCCCAGCAGGTCTGGTCCTTGTAAAAGAGCCTCACGCTCTTACTTCAGTCAACAAGCATATCCCACTGGTTAATAACTGTTGCTACATATTAACTGATTTACTAGCAGTGTGCATGGTAACCACTGGCACTATCAAAGTACAGGAGCGAGCTACAGCTCCCATCACTGTCCATGTGAAAAGGTCTAATGCTTTCATCCCAGTGCTTTCAGAAATTTGTATTTTAATTGCAAAGCAAACAATTACTTATTTTGCCAAAACTGCTCTTTCGTTGTATTATATAGTGAAAGCACAGACTCCAGAGAAAACGAGATTTGCTTTTGAGATCTTCATCTTGCCTTGGTGACAAATGGGGAAGGAAGTTAGCCAATCTTTCCTGGCCTTGGTTTTTCCATCTCTAAAATGGGGAGAATGGGACTGTGTAAATTGTTGAGGGGATTAAAAGAATTTTCCAAGTAAAGCGCTCAGTAAATGTTAGCTACTTAGCCATAACAGTAGTAAAAATGGTAAGTATCTTTTTCACTTAGGTTTAGTTACTTTTAACTCACAAGCAGGAAGTGTAAATATATATATAAAGGAAAAAAGTCACCTACAATCACACCAAGGAAAACCACTATCAACATTTCAGTGATTTTCTACCAGGCTTTCTTTCTGTAACCTCTATTTTCTTGCAAAAATGGAATCATACTGATTTTTGTTACCTGCTCCCTCCAACCCCACAGAATAGATTATGACCTTTTCCAAACAAATACATATAGCAAATGCCAATTAATTGAAGCATAAACTCTATTACTGAAAATTCAAATATAATTACTCTCTGTGATTCTAGTCACCACCTCAAAAACATTCAGCCCTATTTTTATGCAGGAAAGGTCACAGAATTAGAAGTCCAGAACTTTTTTTTTTCCTTGCCTTATTTTAAAACATCAACTAAAAGCTGGACTAAGAGAGGCTTTGGGCAACCTGCCCCCTTTAGATCCAAAAGCAGGACATTAATAAAGAAGGACAGGAGAACTATAGACTGCATTTAAGAAAACTAAAATCAGTATTACATGAATAAATGCTTCAACATAGAAATAACTGTCTTTGACGGACATTTGTTAAAAATATACCAACCTCCAGTGATCAGAATCCATAGATTTTTTTTTCTTCTGATCCCTTCTATTTCCTGTATTTTGTGTTCTATATTTTCTTTGTTCATATTTCAGAAAGAAGCCTGACAGAAGGTACAGAGGCTGTGTGATGTCAAGGCTTACATCATGGAGAAAATCTACTTTGGCCTCACCACTATTCTGCCCCAGATGCTTCATTTTAAAGAAAACCAAGGGTAGATACAAAAACAGTTGAAGAATTTAATGTAACAATGGAAAAATTTAGAGGGCAAACATTTCAGTTAACTGAATAATTTTATATATCAGTCCTTGTTTTTTCTTTTAGTAGAAAATAATTGTTAGACTATCTCCCTATAACCCCTCCTGAGGTGAATAAATAGGTATTTATTTCTTTATCCCTAGTACCAGGTGCAGTACCTGGCCCTTAGTAAGTGCTCAATAAATGTTTGTTGCCTGCAATGCAGTTAAACTACACTATGTGATCAAAACTTGATCAAATATAAACAGAAAGAATAAAACTAAACAGATGATTTTCTTAAATTTCATTTGTAGCATAGCATAATAGCTAAAAATCTGCTGAGACCTTACTGTATGCCGGGCACTTCCAATATCTTAACAACCCTATGGTGTACTAGGTAATATTATCTCCATTATAGGGCATACAACTATTAAGTGGTTAAGTTATTAAGTGGAAATAGATTATATATATATATATATATAGAGAGAGAGAGAGAGAGAGAGAGAATCGCTGAGAAGATGGGAAATGGTAGCAGAATGGATTAAATGAGATAATGCACTTAATACACTCAACCTGGGACATGGGAAACAGTCAATACACTATCTCCACTCACATTATCATGATAACTTTTTAATTCTGTCAACATCATCCCCATGTCCACCCTAGGAACAAAACAGGGCAATGTGTTCTTAGAACACAAAGGAAATAGAGAAAAATATTTAATAATATTAAAATAAAGGCTAATATTTCTTTGTGGAAAGGATAAACAACAAATTCAGAATTATCGTTATCTCTGGCAGAGAAAATGGGGAATGGGCCTAGGGAAGAAAATGCTGTAATGCTGTAATATTTTATTGTTTTAAAATCGTATGCAGGCAATAATGGGGTCTATGAGTCGAACTTAAACGTTTAAAGAATTTAAGTTTTCACCTGTGGCTTTAATAAATTTAATATTAATACATCTGAAGAATGTGGCAAATATTAAGCTTAGCTAAAGCTGGCTGGTGGATATATGGGTTGTAGAGAATTTCTGTATATGCTATTATATAATGTTGGTTTTAACAATTCCTATCAAAACATGTGCTCCATAATCTAATAATCTCCATAATCTAATCTGCTCCACCCAGCCAGGAGCACATTCCTTCCACCCTAAGGCCACGTCAGGGAGGGATTTGCTGATGGTGGGAACTTTCCAGTGGGTCTGGGTAGGGAAGCAAGGAGCGGGAGGAGAGGTCCCATGAAGCACTGGAGCCAAAGGGAACCATGAAGACACTTTCCACGGTCCTGGAAAGAAAGTCATGGCAGGGGACACTGGGAAAGACTCCCTCTGTGCCAGTGGGAGAGCAGAATGGAAACAGGGACAGTTCTCGAATAAATCCTCGGTGTAGGAAATTCATATGCTAGGATCCTAGCTCAGGGAATCCAGCCCTGCCTCACATGCAAGGTCAGACTCAGAACAAGCACTGGGGGAGGGGCACAAGCAACAGAACCACCTCTCTTCCCTCCATTCACTCTGAAGCACTTTGAACACTGCAGTTTCATTAGCTCTCACAGGGCACTCGAAAGCAAGCAGAGACCACTACTAACAGGGGCCCATGCGTCCTCTCCTCCAAAGTCACTCTGTCTACCACCACCCCATACATTTTATGTACGACTGTACCATATGTAAGGCTCATCTTGGCAGCAAGGCCAGACATGTGCCTTATCAAAGGAAAACCAAGTGCAACACTAAAGTGATAAGGACAGATTTTAATCAGTAGTAACTACTGCATCAGGAAAAGAGAGTCCAGTGTGAACTGAACTCACCTTCAATTTGTACACAATCACGGAGTGTTTTAATAAGAGAATGAGGGAGTAGGGCAGGGAGCCAGTGGGGGTTCAGTCGAGAGTGAGGGAAGTGAAAAATGACACAGGCTCCTTCCATGTAACTGACCAGGCCAGCTCTGTCTGCCAGCTGGCATTTACCAAATTCAGATTCTACCCTCCCACAGAGCCTGGGAGAAAGAGACCCTACCCGTTGGCCAAAGAGAAAAAATTGTGACAGCCTTGAGTTTTTTCAGGCAGGCGCTTCAGGAGGACTAGGGGTCATGCTAAGAAAGTTGCCTTGAGCTGTGAGAACCTATGCTAGTGTTTGGTCGTGTCTTTCTTGACCAAGTTTGAGGCCTGGTTGAGAAGGAGGGCTCAGAGGAACCTGGCTAGAGTTTGGTCAAGGAGAGACTCTCCCGTCAGGCTTCCATTCTTTTATTATTTCACCAGACCCTAACCCAAAGGAGACATTTTGATGTTCAATAATTGATCAGTTTTGGGAATTCAGTTTGAACTAAGTTTTTCAACTTAGTCCATATATTTACCTCATACAGTCTTCAAACCCAACAGGACATAAAACAATAAAAGTTTCCAGTTGTGTTATGGTTGACTCTACAGCCTAATTGCTGAGTACCAACTCTGACCCCCAAAAACGATTCCATCACTTCTTCCTGAACTCCCCCAAGTCTCAGTTTCCTCAGCTGTGAAATAGGGGTAAACTTACAGGGTGTTCCTAAAATCCAAAAAGAAAAAAACATCATACAGTGGACATTCAATAACATC